CTTCGGACCCTAGTGTCCTGTGCTCCCTATTACTGATGCCCTGATGCCCTGATGCCCCAGGCTTCAGTGACTCACCTTTGTCAACTTCCCCAGACCAGGGCCTCTGTTCCTACTTGTCTCTGCTCAGCACACCCACCCTTTGTGCTACTCCCCTCCTTTCTCCTCCCCTGCCCTCTCCTGTCCTCTCCCCTCCCCTGCCCTCTCTAGCAAGGGCAGGAACAACCAGTCTCTCACATGATGCTTTTGGAAGAGTAAAATGGTAGCACTATGGAAAAGCTCCACAGTCTCTTTAAAAAACTAAACATGCAGCAGGCAGTGGAGGAGCACACCTTTAATCCCAGCACTTGGGAGACAGAGGCAGATGAATCTCTGAGTTCGAGGCCAGCCTGGTCTAAAGAGTGAATTCCAGGACAGCTGGGGCTACAGAGAGACACCTGTCTTAAAACAAATGAACAAACAAAACACTTAACATGCATCTCCAGCCAGGGAAGCAGATCACTGCCTTTCAGCCATCATCAGAGACTCTTTCTCCAGCAGATGGGAACAAATACAGAGACCACAGCCAGGCAGTGTTCAGAGTGAGAGACCTTGGACACTCAGACCTAAACGATGTCTCCATCAAACCTCAGAAGAGGAGACAGAAAGAGTGTTTAGAGAGCCAGAGTGGACACCTAGAAAACAAGGCCTCTAAATCAACATGAGCAAAGCTCATATGAACTCAGAGACTGAAGCCTGCGTGGGTCTGCGCAGGTCCTCTGTGTATATATTATGGCTTCCTGCTTAGTGTTTTTATGGGACTTCTGGGTGCAAACAGGTGACTCTTTGATTCTTGTGCCTTCTCTTGGGCTCTTCCTGTTTATCTTATTATCTCTCATAAGCCTGTTTGTTTTCTAATGACAGACAGAAAAGGAATAGATCCAGATTGAAGGGGAGGTGGAGAGGAACTAGGGGAGTAGAGGGAGGGAAACCTGTAAACAGGCTGTATTATGTGAGAAAAAAGGTATTTTCAATAAAAACACAGTAGAATGTGGATATGAGGGTAATAAACCAGAAATGAAAATGCAGTAATCACAGGACTTGGTAACTACAGTCTTGGGGATTCATGCAAAGCACTTACATGTGCACAACATCAGTGCATGGATGTCCACAGTGACCTCACTGGCCCAGACTGAGAAACACTTAGATGTTCCTCAGAGCACTTGGAGGACAAAGTCCCCATTCACTGAGGCTGGGGAAATCCTAACTTAAAAAGCAGATGACTGCATTTACAATAACATGCAGCACTTCTGAGCCATATGCAAAATTTTAAAGACAGCTAGGGATCCTGTAGTTTAAATTCTTCACTTTTCAGTCAAGAGAGTGTGCCATGCACCAGAAGCTCGTTGCTAGCCCTAATTGCTTCCATTCATTTAGGAAGAATTTAGCCTGCTGTTGGATCGGAGTCAATGGCTGATATACCTAATCACACTACTGCAGCCACCTCCATAGTAGTGCTTATTTTCGTCCTACAGGTGGGGAAAAGTAAGGATTCGAATTGATAGAAGCCTTGGTAATGGGACTAAGCTCTGAAACTGAGGTGCGCTGGTCATGCGGTTTGCCTGTGGTGCTGCAATGGACCGGTGCACGGGTTGCCCGCAAGGTGGCGCTCATGTCTAAAGTTTTATTGCTTCAACTGCTGTCAGACACCTGCCAACCCCACCACCGTTCTAAAATGAAACCTCTTCGGTGCAAATATGTTTTTGCAACTAGTACAGTTAGTTAGCTGCCTATTGAGAATATTCCTTAAGACGGAATCAGCGACAATAATGGTCAGCAATTCATGACAAAAAATATTCAAAGCGAGGCACGGTTGCGCCCATCTGTAATCTCAACATTCAGAGGACCACAGCAAGGTCTAGGCCATTCTCAACTGTGTAAGGAGACAGCCTGGGAAACAACAAAAAAACCGGAGCTGGGGGCGTTGGTGGCTCACGCCTTTAATCCCAGCCGAGGCAGAGGCAGGCGGATCTCTGTGAGATCGAGGTCAGCCTGGTCTACAGAGTGAGTGCCAGGACAGACTCTAAAACCACAGAGAAACCCTGTCTCGAAACTCCACCCCCCAAAACAAACAAAACAAAACAAAAAACCACAGTCTGGTCATGGTGGCACGTGGCAGGAGTCCCATTATTTGAGAGGCAAAGGGAGGAGGGCCACTACAAGTTCTGGGTCAATCAGAGCTACCTAAAAAGAAGCCCTTTCAACGACGACAGGAGGTTGGAGAGATGGATCCACGGTTAAAAGTATTTAGCTGCTCTTCCAGACCTAAGTTCAAGTCCCAGCAAGGGCAGGCTAACAAGCAGCCATCTGGCCACCGCGGGCACCAGGCATCAGTGTGGCGCTTGTACATACATGCAGGCACTCGAGAAAACACTCATCCCCCTAGAATAAAACAGAACAAGAGGATGTGCCTGGGCAGGCTGGAAGGTGGGCCCCTGAGCTTCTTCAGAAGAGCACCGGGTTTTCTTTTTGCGAAGAAAAACTAATTACACGGATATCCAAAATGCCAACGATTGGCAAACAGCTCCTGTAACAGCAGGCACCGTGAGCTCGAAGGTTCCCAGGGAGGTCTCAGACGCTGCGGTCTCAAGTCTTGTTGGTCCTCCCCACTTTTGATTGGCTTCTCTCTTCAGAACCCTGGAAGGCAAATCCAGATCTACTACGACCCCCACCCCCAGCCTCTTCTGCATTGCCAGGCCCTGGGCATCTAGTCCTGTTGTGGCCTGTCATGCAGCTGCCCACGAGGCAGCAGCGTCAGCCAGACCTCTCCCTCCTCCCTCAGGCTCCTCAGGCCTGCTGCGTTTGCTCATTCTGCTGCACCTAATGCTCTTTTCGATGTTACAAAGAGAGGGGATGTAGGAAGGCCCTCAACCGAGGCAGAAACGGAGCGGAGACTGCAGCCCCCTCTCCCCACCTGTCCTTCCAGCATCGGCCTGGCTGAGCAGCCTCTGCCGGCCATGCTTCACTGATCCTTGCTAGGAAAGTCATGAGAGGGAAACGCTAAGGTCACAGGGACAGGAGACACAGCTTTGTGCCCTCTACCACAGCAGCCTGCAGACCTGACGCTGTCACAAGACACTTTTCCAGTTTTCCATGAGCAAACATCAAGCGAGGCGTGGGCAGGAGGCACTGCGGAGGGTGGCTTTCGGGAGGGTGGTTCTCATGCGGTTTCCCCAGGGCTGCCTCGGGATGCAGCTCCTCAGCTTGAGAGGCAGGGTGCCTAAACCACCCAAGCTCTGTATGCCTTCCACATGCCCCATCCTCCGCTAAAAACAGAGAATGGAATAATAAAACTATTCCTTAAAATGAAAACGGGCTGTTCATATCCCTTTTCTTGTCTCTCAGTGTAGTCCCAGCTGAACTGGAATATGCTGTGTAGATCAGACTGGCTTGAATTCCCAAAGATCCACCTGCCTCTGCCTCCCCATGCTGGAATTAAAGGCAAGCGCCACCTCACCCCGCCCAACTTTTACATGTTTTAAACATAGTTCTGAATACAGTCTTGGGCATAGTATGTTAAAACTAAATATGTAAGTAAAACTTGTTATGTTTTATTTTGTAGTACAGACTGCCTAGTTGCAAATAATAGAATTGCAATAGGCAATTTATTTTATTATTTATTCAGCAATAGGCTTTTTAAAACCTATTTGATGATTTCATAAGTGTATAGAATGCATTTTGGCCATTTTCACCCCCTTGACTCTCATCAACCTCCATCTCCCACTGAAAGCTTTCTTCTTTCCAACCCCCCCTGTGCTCCCCTCCCCCCACCATGCTCCCCTCCCCCCCATGATCCACTGAGTTTAATTGTGTTTGCTTGCATGAGTATGGTTAGGGAACTGCTGGAGCATGGACAACTAACTCACCAGTGGCAGCACTACTGAAGAGACCCCACCCCCTGCAACCATTACTTCTAACCACTCCTTGGGATGGAGGGGGCCTAAGGAGTTCCTCTCTCATCCATGAGGAAATATCGATGGACTCTGTCCTGGGCAGATAACAACAGTCCTGTTATGTCATAGGTGTGAGCAGGGGCCGTCCCCATCCTCTTACATTATTTCCACCTTCTCTTCACAATGTCCCCTGAGCCCTGGAGGGGGGAGGTGACACAGATGTCGTGTATCCTCAGTGTTATCAGAGGTTCATATCTGAGCCAGGCGTTTCCAGGTTCTTGGCCTCTTACCCAAAGAACTGCAAAGCCACAGATTTGCAAAGAAGCCAGATGGTTTATGTGGAGCAGTGATTGTGCAGATTACAGAGAGATACGCCACTAAGCTTGACAGCGGCCACACAGTAAGAATACTCAAGGGCCACAAGTATTGTTTGAGGTTGCTTTTAAAGGGTTCAAGAGGAGGGGCTGGTGACTGAGGGGTACAGTTTGGGTAGCTCTCTATTTGGTTTGTAGATTATGTTATACAACCATTTCTCTACTGTTCTTTCCCATAATGCATCTGGCTTTAATCATATGCACACCTAATTATGCATAGTCATAAGAGGGTAAACAGGAGATTCTCCCCCAAAGGTACCAGGAGATGCAGTTTTACCTCATTGCACATACACCTGAAACTAGTTCCGGCCAGGTGAGTCTTTCTGTTCTTCATAGCCCATGAGTTAGGAATATACTTGAATGAAAACTATGACTGTGATTGCTACCAGGAGTTGGAAGACTTAACCACTCTTCAAAGATGAGAGTCCGTGTAGCTCTGTGCAGGGAGAATGCCAAGGGAGAATGTTCTGAGAGAACAAGGTGCACTGTTCTCATTTTCTGTGGCTGTGATAAACACTATGACCAAAAGCAGCTTGACAAAAAGGGTTCATTTCATCTAACTACACCCAGGTCTATTACTGAGAGAAGTCAGGACAGAAACTCCAGGAAGAAACTTTGGAGGAATGCTGCTTACTAGATTGCCTACTGTCTTAGTCAGTGTTCTATGGCTGTGATGAGACTCCATGACCATGGCAAATCTTATAAAAGAAAGCATTTAATTGGGGCTGGCTTACAGTTCAGAGGTTTCCATCATTGTGGAGGGAAGAATGGCCGTGTGCAGGCAGACATGGTGCTGGAGAAGGAGCTGTGAGCTCTACATTTGGATCTGCAGGCAGCAGGAAGGGAGAGGCACTGAGACTGACTTGAACATTTGAAACCCCAAAGCCCACCCCCCCACACTCTCCCCTTCCCCCCCACTCCGTGACATCCTTCCTCCAACAAGGCCACACCTCCTAATCCTTTTCAAGTAGTGCCACTCCCTGATAACTAAGTATTCAAATATGGGGCCATTCCTATTCAAACCAACACAGTCCCCACGGCCTTTCTCACCTTACTTTCTTATACAGGCTGGGGCTACATTCCCAAGGCTGGCACGGCTCACAGTGGGCTGGGCCCTTCCACACCAATCATTAACCAAGAAAATGCCCCCACCGGCATGCCCATGGGCCTGTCCGATGGAAGCAACTTCTAACTGATGCTTCATCTTTTCAGGTGTCTCTAGTTTGTGAGAAACTGACAAACACACCTTTAATCCCAGCGAGGCAGGAGGAGTTCTATGCTTTTGAGGTCCATGTGGTCTACATAGTGAGTACCTGGCCAGCCGAGTCAGGGTCTCCGGTGCCAATCTATCTCTTCTGTTTCCTTGTATCACCAGCCCTCTAGCCAGTTATGAATCACTGCATTAAAGAAAAAAGAAGGCTCTTTGATGGAGGCTGTTGGCAGTATAAACCGACAGGAATAAACATATTTAGAAGGCAGCTTGACAACATGTCTATTTAGCAAAACAACAGAAGTAGGCTCCCCCAGGGTCTGTTAGCTCCCAATCTGTGAACTCTTGGCCAGGTTTACAGTACCAGGCATGAATTCCCTCCTATGGTACCAAACTCAAATCCGATAAGACAATGGTTGTTACCCCTAACAGTAAAGCTTGTACTAGTAGGCCACTGGCCTGGAAGGTTATTTCTGTAGTTTATAGGGTTCACATCTGGATAAAACAGTTGACTTCTCTCCCAGCAGCCTGCACAGCACCTTCCCACACTGTGAAAACTAGCCCATGGGAAGGAATATTCCAGCATGGTTGCAGAGTCATTTCTCCCTGTCCTGTAACTAAAGTATGGTGTCTACAGTGATAGGGTCTTACCATCTAGCTCTGCTGGGCAACAAACAGCAAAGACAAGAGCCTATATTGTTTTGGTGGCCTCCGGGGCCTCTCTGAGCAACAGCTTGTATGGAGGTATCCCACTCCAGGAACTGGGATTTTTGTTTAAAACATTATACAGCTATGCAGGTATCTCGAACCCAGCCCTTCTTTAATATTACAAATCTTTGGGGAATGTAACCAGAAGTGATGTAGCTGGGTCATATGACAGTCCTATTTCTAACATTTTGTGAGAAACCTCCACAGCGATCCCATAGTTATTGCCAATTTACACCAATTTGCACTGCCACCAACAATTAATGAGTGCTCCCTTCCCCCACAGCTCCAGTAACACGTGTTACCACTTCTTTCTAACATTATTTTGACTGGAGTGAGACAAAATGTCAAATTATATTGAACCTGAACTTTCCTGATGGTTAATATTATGGTTGGTTTTCATGTTAACTTGCCACAAATTAGAATCACCTGAGCCGGAAGCTCACCTAAAGAAATGTCCTGATTGCCTTCAATGTGCATGTGTGAATGCCTGTATGCATGTGTGTACACCGCATGCATACCTGGTGCCCGAGGATGCCAGAAGAAGGCACCAGAGTCCCTGGACCTTCTGTCACAGGTGGTTGCGAGTCAGCATATGTGTGCTGGGAATGGAACCTAGGTTCTCTGCAAGAGCAGCAATAGCTCCCACCCCTGAGCAATCCCTAGCCCCTGTCCTGGTTAGGGATCAATATGGGAAGACCCACCCCAGTTGTGGGCAGCACCTTTCTGGTAACAGCCTGGACAAAAACCATGCGGCAGAAGAAATACCATCTCACTGTTGCTCACTCTGCCTCCTCCCTGCTGAGTTGATTTGCCCTGTTGCTGCTGGTTCTTCCACAGATATCGGTGTTTCTACGCTTTCATCATTGACTATAGACCACTGGCTCTTGAGGACCCTTTTGGCACCAGATTGGGACACTGAGGTTTTGCAGCTTGATTAAGTATCAGTTGTTGTCCCCCAATGAGAGACAGCTGTTATGGGACTACTCTGACCATTGAGGCTCCCAGCTTAAAGCACCAAGAAGCAGATTTTCAGCATCTCAGGTGTAATTTAGCTGACTTGTTTTGTTGTTTTTCAAATAGTCTATTATGTTGCTCTGGCTGTCCTGGAACTCGCTATGTAGACCAGGCTGGTCTTTTTTTTTTTTTTTTTTTTTGGTTTTTTCGAGACAGGGTTTCTCTGTGGCTTTGGAGGCTGTCCTGGAACTCGCTTGGTAGTCCAGGCTGGTCTCGAACTCACAGAGATCCGCCTGCCTCTGCCTCCCGAGTGCTGGGACTAAAGGCGTGCGCCACCAAGCCCGGCTGACCAGGCTGGTCTTAAACTACCAGAGATCCTCCTGCGTCTGCCTCCAGCTTACACACACACACACACACACACACACACACACACACACACACACACACACACACACGCACACACACACGTTTTATTCCTCTAAAGAACTCTGACTATTGCAGCTAAAGAAGTTAAACAGCTTAGCTATTTGTCTTTCTTCTTTGAGAATGCTTTGTTCAGCTCCATAGCACATTTTTAGCTGGGGCTTTTGTTTTCTCAGTGTTTGGTCTCGAGTTCTTTGCATATTCTCAGCACTAATCCAATGTCAGATGACCAAGTTTTTCTCATTCAGAAGGCTTCTTTTCACTCAAATCAGTTTCCTTTGCTGTACAGAAGCTTGAGAATTTCATGAAACCCATTTGTCACACTTCCTGTGTGACCAGAGTCCTCTTTAGGAAGTCCTTACCCCAGGGTTAGGAGGTCACTGAGAAGGAGGAGTGTCTTAGTGTGCTTTCTATTGCTGTGATAAAGCACTATGACCAAGAGCAACTTGGGAAGGAAAGAGTTTCTTTCAGTTGTGTATACTGGGTCACAGTCCACTGAAGAAAGCCCAGGCAGTGGTCAGGAAAAGAAACCACTGAGGAATGCTTGCTCTCCAAGGCTTTCTCAGCCTCTGTTTTTATCCCACCCAGGACCATCTGGCCAGGGGAGGCACCACCTACAGTAAGCTGGGCCCTCCTACAACAATCAATAATAGAGGACACCCCCATGGAGGGCCTCACCCTCCCTGGGGAAATGAGGGGATAATGGGGGTGGGGTGGGGGGGGAGGGCACGGGAGGAGGGGAGGGAAAGGGAGAAGGACCTGGAACTGATTTGTGAACCAACCATGTTTCTAATCTAAATTTAAACTTAAAAAAAATTAGTAATAAAAAAACCCAATCAATAATAGAGAAAGTGTCCTAAAGATTTGCCTACACCCATCTGCTTAAGGAATTTTCTCAATTCAGGTTCCACCTCCCAAAATAACTATACCAAATTCACAAAAATCAAAGCAGGACAATGGGTCAGAATGATTGAAGCCAGAGGCAGTGGGTGACTGGACAGAGTATTTTCCAGGCACCACAGGACAGCTGCACACATGAATTCACAGGACTTTGACAGCATGGGTGGATGGGGGAGGTCATGAAACCCCACTGCTAGCTTCGGAGCTATAGTCAACTAATGATTTCCAGGAGAGGGCGAGTCCGTTTTCTTCAAGGGTGTGGTCTCTGAGAGCATCGCCAGGAGATGGCCTCCTCGTGCACACACTGCCAGCGCTAAGTGCACAAAACACAAGCAGCTGGAGAGATGGCCACAGAGTAAGGGCACTTTCTACATTTTTTTTTTAGAGGATCTGGGCTCAGTTCGCAGAGTCCACATGGTGGATCACACTGTCTAGAATTCCAGTTCCAAGAAATTCAACACCTTCTTCTGGCCTCTGCCAGTACCAGGCATACACAAAGTATACACACATATATGTAGAAAAACACTCATACACATAAAATTATAATAAATCATTAGACAGTTTAAAAAGAGAACTCAAAATTGAAAGGGAATTTTGGGGGGACATGGGGTGGATTTTATCAAAATGCATCATATGCATATATGAAATTTTCAGTAAACATTTTAATTATCTACTTGAACTAATATATGCTTATTGAAACTGGAAAGATCACTCAGCATTTAGGGACACTGATGTTCTTGCAGAAAACCCAAGTTCAGTTCCCAGCACCTACACAGTGGCTCCTAACAACCTGTAACTCTGGTTCAGGGGATCCAGTAGTGCCTTCTGACCTCTGCCAACACCAAGTATGCACATGGCACACATACTTACATGTAGGCCAAACACTTACAAATCAACTTAAACCAATTTTAAATGTTTATTTTACTGTGAGAATAAAATACAAGCTGCTACAATGAAAACCTACACAAAATTACATTTGGGCATTTACCTGACATGTATCTTCATTCACATGTATGTGTAAAGGCTTTGGAACAGCTTAAATTGATAGTAGAAGAAAGCAGTGTTTTTAGAAGGAAGTGAGAAATCTCAGAATGAAAGGCATGACCAAAGAACCAGGTCATAGGGCCTAAGGGCCTGACGCAAGAGCTTCTCAGAATGGAGCCCTGCATACTTGTCCAAGCTCTGTCGCTCTAAATAAGACAGGATGATCAGGAATCTGGCTGGACCCGCTCTGTTCACATGCCCATCCCTACCTGGGAGAGGAGATGCAGAGAAAAGGGCACTTTGTCTTACGGACCAAAGATTGCATTCAGTTGGATATAAGATAGATGCAGGGAACTTCAAAAACAGAGACCCCCAGTACACAAGTCACATTCTTAACTCTGGTTCCTGCCCCTTCTGGCCATTAACTACCAAATGTAAATGGTATACTTGGGTTCACATCGAGGTCTGGAGCTCCCAAGAGATGAAACCATAAGTCCATAGACATTGGAAGAAAGAAGAAACAAGAAAAATATGCTTAGTTCTAAAACACACACACAAACACACATGCATGCACACATACAGATACACACAACTGAATGCTAAGACAAAGTTCCATATAAATAGGAGCTCATTAAAGAACACCTTGGAAAGTATCTTAAAATCAAACAGGTTGAGATCATTGTGGTAGAGACAGTCAAGCTGACAATCCCAGCACTTCCCGGGATGAAGTGAGGCCAACCTAGGCTATTTAGTGAGCTTTAGGCTATCATAAACCAAAAACAAAACTCTAAACAAATAAAATAATTTTAAATTGAGAGTACTCATAGACAAATGGAAGTTACAATTTTATTTAAAAGCAACTAAAGCTTGAGTCTAAAAGGAGGAAAGAGTGAAATAAAATCAGGTGTATGTGAGAATCAGTTGGAAAACTTGGAAAAATATGGTTTAATACTTAAGGTGCAATAAACATATTAATCTGCATACAGTAAACATCAGCAAGGGAATTGGAAGACAACACTGAAAAGAATACCCCAATGCAGCACAGATGTGCGCTCCTCACTGACTTCACCCTGCCCTGAGCCTGGTAGCAAGAACCTTTTACCAGGTATCAGCAGGGAAGGGGCAGGTCAGTGAGATGGGGTAAAAAGTAGGGGATATTATTGAGAGGGCCCCAAGGAAACATGTTCCTTTGTGAGCTAACTTTTAAAAGCCCAGCATGGTAGTGACCCACACCTTTAGTCCCAGCACTCAGGGGACATAGGCCAGGGTACCTGAGTTCCAGGGCAGCCAGGGCTACACAGAGAAAACCTGTCTCAAGAATCAAAACCCAAACTGGTAACCTGTGTTGGATCAAACTCCCAGAAGCCACAGGTTATTACATGAAAACTGCAAGCTCAGCAGTGGTTATCCCTCCTGAGTGCTGGGGTTAAACCTAGCCCTGCAAAATATCCATTCCTGAAAACTCTAAGTCAGTTTTTTCTCTAAGTGCAGGTCCCAGAGAGGCTTACAGGTCAAGGGTGAGTAGGCTGCACACATTCAACTGTAGTCAGCATTACATAACAAGTGAGTGTTACTCGTTTCTTCAATTAAGATGAAGGAAA